AAATGGAGCTTCAGTGGCTGCTGCTTATTGTTGCTTTGTGCTGTCACGTCGGAACTGACTGAAAACCTCCAGCAGATTTTTAGAGGCAGTAAATCCCAATGGAGGAAGGAGATTGCCTGTCCTTATCTCAGATCCCATAGGGGATATGAATGTTTGCAGCACTGCTTCTCACCACCAAGTCACCTGAGCTGAGGAACTGCACTGCCTTGGCCTTGTGGTTAGGAGTTGCACTGCCAGCCCAAAAGCATTGTTTGAATTCACCAATTGTTCCACAGCGGATGCATGGGCAGTCTCTTCCTTTGCCATTTATTGCCTGTGAAAACTTGCTGGAGGGTCAAGGTATGGATCAATTCCAACTAGAAGGTACATAACAACAAGCCAAAGGGTTATGTTTCTAATCATGAATTGCTTCGTGAGAGAAAAATGGGAATTCTCCTCCTCTATTGTTTACAGCCTATTAAAACCCACTGGAGGGCCAGCTGTGAGTTGATTCCGACTCTGCTGCACACAGCAACAAAAGTGATATATGATTGAGTATTGTGGTTAGCACAGGAATCCAGAATTAAGGTTGCATAGAGAAGTGTACTCGGGGTGGGGGGTGGGGGGAAGGGACCTGGGAATTGTATACTAATGAAGGAATTTTTTTCTTTTTTTTTTTTTTCTTTTTTCTCTCTTCGGAGGGGGAAGCGAGCTGGTGGGAAGAGAGAAAATTGCGGCAATGAATGAATGGAAATCCAAAACCTCTGTAAAAAAATAAATAAAAACTTATTTAAAAAAAATACACAAATATTACAACACAGTAGTTTCTTTGCTCTAAAGCATTTTCTTGTGATCCACTAGATGGCAGTAGACACATGTGAAACACAAATGAGTATTCTGTTTTGTATTGAAGGTGGTGAAGAAATAGTTGTTAAATGCTGGCAAGTTGGATCTGAAGCATAGCTACTCAGTGTAAAACAGAACAAAACCCTGTCCATTCTTTGTGGCATCTCCCTCAAAGAAATAGTAGCTCATCCTTTTCATGTATAGGAAATTATACTTTTTCTTCGTTATGATAAATACGCTTTCTTCAGGACTCACCTTTCTTGAAGTGTTAGTGCTACCTACTCCAAATTTTAGATTAGATTAGATTAAAAGATCATCAGTCATCATATATTTATAGTGATGACTCTTAATTGAATCCTTCATGTATCAGGTAAATTTTCCTTTTAGAAACTGTTTATGAATAGCTAAACATACTGTAATATGATTATATAAAAGTAACTTCTGTTAATGCCCCTTGAATCCTTCAGGCTAAGCAGTGAATGAGAATAGAAGAGGCATTGCCTTAAAAAGGCAGGCCCTTTCAGTCCTTTGTGGTGACAGAAATAGGCATTGCTCTTGTTTTTCTGTTTTAGAGTGGTGATCCCACAAGGATTTCCATTATCTCTACCTTATTAGAAGTAGTTCTACTTAATTTTAATTCATTTCATGTCTTCATGATTTTGTATTGTATACAGTACAGTATAGATCTTTGTCCTTTGCAAGACTGTGATATACTTTTCACTCTCCTATTGTATTCCTCTGTTCAACAAATACTGTTAGCAATTCCATTATTGCTTATAGTCTATTTCTTACTGGATTGTCTTAACATTGCTCCAATTATGTTTTGTTCTTCATATGTTATAGGTATTGTTACTTCATTTCTTAAATATGTAGTCTCTACCTTGTGTTTCAAATGCTTTTGATTATAATAATGTATAAATTGTTTCTTTTCCATGATATTTATAATTTGATACATGAAAAGTTGATTATCAGTGAAATGGAATTTCTTTTTGGACTTTTTATAAATTGCAAAATTGTATCCTTTACCTATTTTTTTATTAGGTCCTCTTCAGCTGACTGTCACTTCATAGTTTTTTGTTCTGTACTTCATTTACTAAGTTTGCTGTTCATCGTGTTCTAGTTATTTTCTCTCCTGTGCATACCCTCGCATACACGGATTCTCCATAGGACACCTTTTTCAATGTACTTTTCAATTTTCTTATGTAGTCCAGTTTTCTAGGATTGTCATTCATGATTTTTGGGGTTTTACCACTTATAGGTAATGTTTTATCCCTGCTCCTAATATATAAAAGGTGTTTTAGTCGGGGTGTGGGGGTGTGTGTGTGTGTGTGTGTGTGTGTGTGTGTGTACACTAACAGCCCCAAAGGGAGAGGGGATAGAAGGTGGCCATGACTTTCCTGCTTGGCTCCTCCCAGGGTTTCTGTGACTTCTTGCTGCCAGAGCATGGTTGTCCACGTGCATGTGCAGGTATTATGGCAGGTTTTTTGGAGTCGAGTGCTTTTTCGGGCTTGTGTTTGCTGTACAGAGGTAACTCGTGGTTGCTGTGATGCTGAACACTGTGACACTGATGTGCCAAATGTGGTAATGGTTACCCATGGTGGACAGTGTTTGCGGGAGCTTCCCGACTAAAACAAGCCTGGAAGCAGGAATGACGTCCACTTCCGAAATGGCTTGCCTCCAGAAATGCTATGAACAGTGCTCAGGCCTTTTGTTCATAGGGTTGCTGTGAGTCGTCTACAACTCAACGGCACCTAACAACAACAACAGTTTTAAGGGTTGTCTGGTGTCATAGTGTGTGAAGTGTTGCACAGCCGCCAGCTGCTCCATAGCAGAAATATGGGCAGTCTCCTCTTGTAAAGATTTACAGCCTGAAAAATCTAATGGAGGATTGCTATGAATCAGAACCGAATCAACAGCAATAGGTTCAGTTTTGTTTTTATAGTAGTTTACTCTTTTGTTTAAATATTGAAGGGAAAATTTTACTGTGAATTTTTTTGATAATTCTGTGTAAAGTGGTGGCAGTTGTTGTGTGCCATCAGGTCAGAACGGCCTTGTAGCTGACCCTCCAAGCAGGTCTTCAGAGCCAGTAAATCCACCTATCTTCCATACTGCAGTATAGCTTCTTATCTGTAAGCTGCCGGAGTTCTCTTTTTTCATCGAGTAGTCTGTTTTCCTGTTGTGATTTGCTGATTTTTTTTCTTACTTCATGTGACTTCTTAAAAAGAAAAGACCTCACACCAACATGCTTGTTTGCTTATTATCCCTATAAAAGCTTTATTATCCTATAAAGAAAATTTGTTGAGATTTGAAGAGAAAATATATAGCTAATTTTAAGTATCTCTAAGTTAACAACCACTCGAAAAGGAAAAATTCTTCATGCAAGAGGTAAACCTACTTAAACACTAAATAAATGCAAAAGAAATCCTTTGAACTGGCTAAATGCAGCTGTTACTATGTGTTATATGATTCTTTGCCTGTATTTCTGTTTGTCAGCTTTGATTTCAGTTTCATTGTAACATATTCAGGGAGAAAAATGCTAAATTTTGGAATACCACCATTTCCTTGATTTCACAAATAAATAGTCACTGTTTAAAAGCATTACAATGGCATAAATACACCATTTTAAATATAACGAACGAGTGGGTTAGGGTTTGGGGATTTTTTTTTCCCCTTAATGCTTTGAAATTTGAAATTTTTTACTGTGAGATAGATTCTCTGTTTGCTACATTTTTCATTTTATTTATATGCACACATACTTTAAACTATGGAGTTTCCTTCTTCTTTAGTGAAGCATCTTTCGTTACTGTGGTGGTCCCAGATTTCTGGATTTTGAGTTCAGCATGAAACTTTTAACCCAAACTTTTCATCTTAAATATTTTAAACGTATAGGAAAGTGTAATACAATGAATAATATGTACATACATTCCTAGCATTACAGATTGTTGAAATTTGTTAAATACATTTACTATTTCTTGTGCAATTTTCTGTGTTATCACTTTAAAACAATAGCAATTTTTCTGTTTGGAAATCTAAAGACGATAGTTGACTTTTTTAATATTTCAGTGCTTTTGGTGCTACTATCATTGTGTACCATAGAGTCGGAACCGAACTGTGGCTATCCTTCCTGCAGGTTTTCAAAGGCAGTTAATCACACAGGAGGAGATTGCTCAACCTTCTCCCGCAGAGCAGCTGATGGCCTCGAACCAAGTGCCTTTGGGATTGTGCCGTAGTGTTCTTTAGTTTAGAACAACTACCACATCTTCTTTTCTTTTTTTTCCCCTTTTGTGAATATATTTGAGGATATTTTGTGGATATATTGGAGACAGCTAGACAACACTCTAGATTTTTCTGATTTCTTCTTCATGACTAAGATAAAATGAAGCATTTTTTTTTCAAGATAATACAAAAATCATCTAGTATTTCCTCACTGGATAATGCTAGGAGAGTCATAATGCCATTTGCCCAGTAGATTTATCTATGATAAAGTTCTTTTCCCTTTGTTACCTGTAGCAAAGTGGGATAAGCACTTGCACTGCTAACCAAAAGGTAGACAGTTCCAACCCACCAAGCTCCTTGAGAGAAAGATAAAGCAGTGTACTCTCATTAAAAGTTCAAGTTCATAAACGTTCCGAGGCATTTCTGCTGTTCTGTGTGGTATCTGTGGGTCAGAACTGTTGATGACAGTAGGTGTGGTTTTTGATATATGGTCATCTGATTTACGTAAAACCCTGAAGCTCTTTTCCTAAATCAATTATTACGTAAGTAATTTTAATTTTTTTTCTAGTTCAGTTTTCCCCTTCATGTTTGTTAGCTAATAATTCATTTCCTATTCCAGTACATTATGTAATTGTTACTATTATTTTCATCACAAGTTTTATGCCAATAGAGCTAAATGAAATTTTGTGTGCTGTTGTTAATGGCAGAGGGAAGATAATATTTTTGATCCTAAAGTGCGGTTCTGTATGTTAACATTTCAACATAATTGTCTCCTGAAAATTAATCTGACCTTTTTTATCATTATTTAGTTTTTCTTTTAAAAACAAAAAGTGATGTTTTCGTATTTAATCTGTGTTTATATCCTTTAATTTCTCAATTGCTTTGTTTAATTTCTAATCTATTATTTTTGCCACCGTAACATTTATAAGTAATCATAAACTAATTTTCTTTTCTAATAGCTGTAGAAATACAAAGGGCTCTGAATCAACTTGGAACGCCTCAGGATTCACCTGAATTAAGGCAACAGCTGTAAGTATGTAATTTATTTTTAAAAAGAAAGAAACCTGTTGTTAATGTATAGTGTTTCTTAGATAGCATATAGTGTATTTACTTGAGAAAACAGTTAAAAATAAGATTTTTTTTTCTGTTACTTTGTTCACAAACTTAGGACTATAAAGATTTACTTTATAGAATTTTTCCTCTGTTCAAAGGAGGCACATCTTTTTCTCTGCTTTAAAGCTCTAAATTCTCTAAAAGCTCAGCTATCTTTAGTTTGCTTTCTTATACTTTATGATGGATCTTTAAAATTCTGTTAAAGCCTTTGAAACACTCGACTTTGAGCATCTCCTTAGTGAATAGTTCTGCCTCTAGCCAGATTTTCATTTGGTTTAGATATATATTCATATTCTGTTTGAACTAACCCCTACAAAAGGTTCTGTCAACATCCTCAAATTTTATTCTTTTTTAAATTTTACTTTATTTTATTTTACTTTGTGTGTGTCCTGTCAAATCGGGTCTGACTGGTACAGGAGGAGATTGCCCCTCCTTCTCCAGCTGATGGATTTGAACCATGTGTCTCTGGGATTGCAGTGCAGCTTCTTGCCACTAGCCCACCAGAGCTCCCTACAACATCCTCAAATTTTAGCAAGCATTGTTGTTGTTAGATGCCATCGGCTTGGCTCTGACTTACAGCAACCCTATATACACCAAACAACATAGTACCTACTCCTGCACTTGATGAGCCTATCTTTGGACCTCCTGTGTCAGACCATCTCATTAATGATCTCCCTCCTTTTAGCTGACCCCCTACATTAGAAGACATGGTTAGAGCCCTGATGGCAAAGTATGTAATGTTGCAGTGATGGCCAAAAGTTTAGTGGTTCACATCTACCAGGCACGCCTCCAAAAAAAATGGCACTCTTTTCCCATGAAGATTTACAGCCTCAGAAGTCTGATGGCCAGTATGTTGTTGTTGTTGTTATTACATACTTTCAAGTCGGAGCTGACACACACTGACCTTCCAGTATGTTTTCAAAGGCAGTAATTTGCACAGTAGTTGATTGCACATTTTTTCCCGGTGGAACAGTTGGTGGATTCAAACCATGTGCCTTTGGGTTGGCAGCACAGCAGCTCCTTACCCCAAGGCCATGAGAGTTCCCTGATGGTCACTTTGAGTCAGACTAAATTGTTGTTGTTGTTGTTGTTATGTGCCACCGAGTTGCTTGCGACTCATTGTGACCCACTGTACAATAGCCCTAAATGCCATTCTATCTTGTGCCAACCTTGCCTTCTCAAACACAGTCATTCCCACCACTCTACTCACAGAATCGATCCATCTCATTGAGGGTCTTTCTCTCCTGCGCCGTCCCTCCACTCTCCCAAACATGATGTCCCTCTCCAAGGACCAGTCCCTCCTTGCAACATGCCCAAAATATGTCAGACAAAGCTTCAGAATCTTTGACTCCAAGGAACATTCTGGCTTCACCCTCTCCAGGACAAACCTGTTTGTTCTCAACACTCTTCTCCAGCACCACAGCTCAAAGGCATCAATTCTATTTCTATCATCCCTATTCACCGTCCAACTCTCTGATGCATAGCACATAATTGCAAAGACTATAGCTTGAATCAGGCGCACCTTAGTCTCAAGCCTGATGTCGTTGCTCTTCAGTACTTTTGAGTGGTCCCTCACAGCTGACTTTCCCAGTGCAATTCGTCTCCTGATTTCCTGGCTGCTGTTACCAAGAGTGTTGACTGTGGAGCCAAGTAAACGAAAACTGTTCACTATCTCAATCTCTTCACCATCCATACTGATGCTACCAGTTGTCTCAGAGGTGAGAATCTTTGTTTTCTTGATGTTGAGCTTCAATCCATATTGAAGACTGCAGTCCATGACTTTCTGCAGCAAGTGCTTCAGGTCCTCCTTAGTTTCAGCAAGCAATGTTGTGTCATCTGCATAACTCAGGTTGTTGATGATTCTTCCACCAATCTTGATGCCACATTCCTCCTTGTACAGCCCAGGGTCTCAGATGATCTGTTCTGCATACAGATTGAAAAGATATGGAGACAAAATATATCCCTAACAGACCCCTATGTTGATTTTGAACCATCCAATGTCTCCCTGCTCTCTTCTGACGGCTGCTTCTTGGTCCAAGTACAGGTTTTGCACTAGCACAATCAAATGATCTGGGATTCTCATTTTTCTCAGAATCAGCCATAGCTTCTTGTGATCCACACATCAAAAGACTTTGCATAGTCAGTGGAGCACAAATAGACGTTTTTCTGGTATGTTCTGCTTTCTGCCAAGATCCATCTAACATTAGCTGTAATATACCTAGTACCACGAGGAAAATTAAATCAAGTCCACGGGAACCAAGATTTGACCTTAAGTCTGTCCCACTCGAATTTCAAAACCATCACAGGAACAGGTTTGAGGCCTTGAGCACCAATGAGAATAGACCAAATGAGCTCTGGGAGGATATCAAGAAAATCGTCCATGAAGAATGCAAAAGATCATTACAGAGGCTGAAGAAGAAGAAAAGAGCAAGATGGATGTCAGATGAGACTCTTGAGTATTGCATTAGAGTGCCGAGAAGCCAAAGCTAAAGGAAGAAATCAAGAAATCAAAGAGCTGAACAGAAAATTTCAAAAGGCACCCTGGGACAACAAAGCAAGATACTATAATGAAATGTGCAGAGAGCTGGAGTCAGAAAATCAAAAGGGCTGGACTCGCTCAGCGTTTCTTAAACTGAAGGAGTTGAAAAACAAATTCAAGCCACAGGTGGCAATACTTAAACATAGTTTGGGTAGAATGTTGAATGATCCAGGAAGTAGCAAACGAAGATGGAAGGAGTACACAGAGGCACTGTATCAGAAGGAATTGGCTGACACAGAGGAATTTAATGAAATAACATATAAGCAAGAGCCTAAGGTGATGAAGGAGGAAGTTCAAATTGCTCTGAAGGAATTGACAAAAACAAGGCTTTAGGAGTTGACAGCATCCCAGTTGATTTATTTCAACAAACAGACGCTGCCCTGGATGTGCTCACTAAGTTGTGCCAGGAAATCTGGAGGACAGCCAGGTGGCCAACTGACTGGAAGAGATTGGTATTTGTTCCCATTCCCAAGAAAAGTGACCCAACAGAATGTGGAAATTATCGAACAATATCATTGATATCACATGCAAGCAAGATTCTGCTGAAAATGATCCAAAAATGTTTGGAAGAATATGTCAGTGGAGAACTACCAGATGTGCAAGCTGCATTTAGAAGAGGTTGTGATACTAGGGATATTATAGCTAATGTTAGATGGATCTTGGCAGAAAGCAGAGAATACCAAACCAACTAGATAATAAATTATAAAGAAAACAGCAATATATTTGTGGAATATTACAGATTTTTATGACCATTTTTATATGATTACAGTTTTACTCAAGAAGAAAATATATTTTTTGAGGGTTTAATGATTTGACCAACTCATTAGTACATTAATCTTAAATATTAACTCAGTAGTGTTACTGCTACAGTTTTCAAATAATACATAGTACTTGCTATTTCACAACAGCATTAGCTTTGTTGTTGATGTTAGGATGCCATCGAGTCAAGTACGGCACGTAGAGACCCTGTGAACAATTGATCTGAACCCTATCCTACCTTGTGCCATCCTCACACTTCCTGACACATTAGAGCCTATCGCAGCATTCTCTGTGTCAGTCCACCTGGTCTGACCCTCCACCTTTCCAAACATCACATTCCTCTCCAAGGAACAGCTCCTTCTAGCAACATGCCGAAAGTATGTGAGATGAAGCCTTATCATCTGTGCCTCCAAGGAGCACTCTGGCTGCATCCTTCCAAGACTTATTTGCTTGTTCTTCTGGCTGTCCATGGGATGTACAGTGCTCTTTTCCAAGACCACAGCTCAAAGGCATCAATTCTTTTCCTGTCATCCTTACTCATTGTCCTGCTCTCAAAAACATAGCAAGTGATTGGAAAGACCATCATCTGAATCAGACATACCTTCATCCTTAAACTGGCATCATTACTCCTCAGTAATTTGGAGAGATCCCTAACTTCAGACTAACTTGTGACAATGTCAGTTTAAAGACTAAGGTGCATCTGGTCCAAGCCATGCTATTTTCAGTTACTGGCTATGCATCCGAAAGTTGGACAATGACTAAGCATGACAGAAGAATTGCTACCTTTGATTTGTGATATTGGAGAAGAGCACTTGGTCTACCAAAAGAACAAACAAATGTCTTGGAAAGTGTGAGAGCAAGGTTCTCCTTTGAGGCAAGGATGGTGAAAATTGGCCTCACATACTTTGGACATGTTGTCAGGAGAGATCAATCTTTGGAAAAGGACATCATTCTGGGAAAGGTAGAGAGAGTCAGGGAAAGCGAAGAGTACCCTCAATGAGATAGGTTGATACAGTGACTGCAATAATGGGCTTGAGTGTGATAAAAAAGTCAGATATATTAGAGGATAGGGGAAGGTTATAATCTGTTGTTCATAGAGTAGATATGAGTAGAAGTCTACTTGTCAGCACAGGACAACAGCATTTGTATGCATTCCCTTTTATAGTAGTGTTTTACTTTAAAAGGATCCTAAGTGAGACCAACCAATAAGTACTTAAAATCATAGATTTTGTACATTTCTGTTTATATTACTTAACATTATACTGTGCTGTAATATATTATACAATACTGTAATTGAGATACACCATTTGACGTGTTTCAAAAAACAGATGCAGCATTGTACATGCTCACCAATGTGTGCCAGGAAATTTTGAAGACAGTTACCCGGATGACTGGAAGAGATCCATATTTGCTTGCATTCCAAAGAAAGGTGATATAACAGAATGTGGAAATTAACGAACAGCATCATTAATAGCCCATGCAATCAAAATACAGCTGGAAATCATTCAGAAACAGCTAGAACAGTACAGAGACAATTGCCAGTTCAAGATGGATGAGAAGAAGCTGTGGCACCAGAGATATTATTACTGATGTTGTAAGGAGCCAGGCTGAAAGTAAAGAATACCAGAAGAATGTCTGTTTTTGCTTTATTGAGTATCCTAACGCATTTGGCTGTGTGGATAGATATTAACAAATTATGGCTAACATTGGGAAAACTGGGAATCCCAAACACTTAATTGTGCTCTTGGGGATCCTATACCTACACCAAGTGGCTGTTGTACAAAAGAACAAAGAAACCCTACATGGTTTAAAATTAGGAAAGGTGTGCATCAAGGTTGTATCCTTTCTTCATGCTTATTCAGTCTTTACACAGAGCAAATTATTTGTGAAGTCGAAATCTGTGAGGAAGAATGTGATATCAGTATTGGGGTAAGACTCATCAGTACCTTTCTGTATGAAGATTATGCAACCTTCCTTGCTGAAAGTGAGGAGGACTTGAAGTGCTTACTGCAGAAGATCAAATCTAGCCTTCAATAGGGATTGCATCTCAACATAAAGAAAACAGAAGTTCTCTCCACTGGACCAATAGACAACACACCGTGATACACGGAGAAAAGATTGAGACTATCAGCAACTTCATCCTACTTGAATCTACAGTCAGTACTCTTGGCACTAGCAGTCAGGAGATCAGGAGACATTGCACTAGGAAAGTCTACAGGGAGGGGCATCTCCAGATTACTTAAGAGCATTGTTGTCATTTTGAGGACTACCTGATCCAGGCCTTGGTCTTTTCAGTCACTTGCTATGGACATTTAATAGAAATGATAGAAGAAGAATGAATGCTTTTGAACTGTGGTGTTGGAGAAGAATGTTCAATATCTCACAGATTGCTAAAAGAACAGATATGTCTTAGAGAAGGTGCAACCAGAATGCTCCATGGAGGCAAAGATGGTAAAGCTTCATCTCACATACTTTGGGCATATTACTAGGAGATACGATTCTTTGGAGAGGGCCATCATACTTGGAAAGATAGAGGAACAATGAAAGAGGAAGACTCAAGGAGGTGAATTGACACAGTGATTGCAACAATGTACTCAAGTGTGTCAGAGATTGTGAGGATGGTAAAGGATAGGACTGGGTTCAGATCTGTTTTTCGTAGGGTCGCTGTGAGTTCTACTTGATTTGCCAGCACCTAACAATAACAACATACTATAGTGGTATTATGTTTATACTACTTTACATTATATCATATGACATGTTGTTGGTTCAGTTACTAAGTACATGATTGCTGATTGAAAGATTGCAGGCAGTGTGAAGCTATCAGCTGCTCCTTGGAACAAAAGATGTGGCAGTCGGCTTCTGTACAGATCACACCTACCCTGTCTCATAGCATTGGCTTGAGTCATACAAGCATGAAGACAACGGGTTATGGGTGTATCTGTATCTATATATCTATGTGTGTATCTATATATCTGTGTGTATGTGTATAAATATGTGTATAAGACATATCATAATATGTGAAGAATACTTTGAAATTTGTAAAACTTTACATTAATGCAAGATGTCTCCCCCCTGCTTTTTATAATCTTTTTTAATCAGAAGTATTTTTGCTCTGTAAGTTAAATAAACTTAAATTTACCTCTTTTGTTAAGTATTCTCTTCCCTTTTCTCGATAAAGCTCATCATCTTCAATTACTAACTGACTCACAGCTGACTCCCAATTTGGGTTCCCAAGAAAATAGGAGATTTCGCATCTTTCTCTGACCGAGATGCAGATAGACTCAAGCCACCCAAGAAGCACAGCATTTGAGTTAGCAGCACGTCTCCGTATGACTGCTCCACCAGACCTCCCTTTTCACAGCACACGTAGAAATAGTAGATTTGTGCTATGACTTAGCTCCTCTCACAGTCTTCTTGTGCAAGTATCTGTGTTGTTGTTGTATACCATTGAGTTGAAAGCACCTCCAGCAGGTTTTCAGAGGCCGTAATTTGTATGGGTAGAGGCCTGTCTTTGTCTTGCAGAGCACCTGGTGGATCCAAACGTGTGCCTTTGGTTTGACAGTATAACTCTTTACCACTAGGCCATGATATCCAGGCAGAAAAATAGGAGAGACTACATGCCCCCTGATCCTGAGAACTGGACAAAGCCTAAGGAAACAGTTACTCTTTTTGCTTCTCTAGTTAAGTTCTGATGCAGGATTTAGATAAAAGACTCCCTCACCCCCGAAACATCACACATACAGAAACAGACTTCCCATACTCTCATGGTTAAATTTACTTTTGTCTTCGGGGGGGGAAGTTCTTTTTTTAAAAAATCATTTTATTCAATTATTCATGTACATTTTTGTTTTATAGCATTAGTCTTAACTGATCACTGCCATTTATTATAACATCTCCTCAGATCCTCACTATATTTTGTCTCTCCTCCTACCCCCAACCCCCATCCATCTATCCACCAGTCTCTGACCCCCTACTCCTCCCTTCCCATCCTTAAGTCATCTGTATTTTTACATTACTGCTGGGTCTACTTATTTCAAGTTGGCTAACCTGGGTGAGTAAAGACCCTTCCATGTACTATTGTATCAATATATATAAAAAGATTAAACCTGGAAAGTTTGTTTTTAGAGAAAAATTTGAGTCAATCTTTTAAAAAGGCAATTTCTAGAAATTATTCATCAGATCAATTCAAGTGACAGAATTATAGCTTAAAGAAATACTTAAGTTCTTTGGCTTTAATTGTTTTTTCTCACTGCAGGCAACAGAAGCAACAGTACACTAACCAGCTTGCCAAAGAAACTGATAAGTACATAAAGGAATTTGGATCTCTGCCCACCACTCCCAGTGAACAGGTATCAGGCTTTAAGAAACTTTACTGATAGCTTGAATGTAAGAGAAATCAAATGCATAGTACTGTCTTTGAACTGTTTGCAAGGAAATTAGCAGAAAGACAAATTCTTCATGGGGTTCGTTCATGGAACATAAAATTAGAATTGATTGCTCAGCCTCAATAGGCAGAAACTGTTTGCATGAAGTTGCCCTGCCCCAAATTCGGTGCTACGATGCTTCCTAAGTAATTGTTCTCACTCGCGCACTCACTCAAGGTATGAAGCGTTCTAGGTTCACGTCTCTATGTACTTGCTTACCTACTTGTAGGAGTAGAAATTAAGGCCTGGGGCGGGGGGCATATGACTTTATCTACCCACAGAGAAATATTGCTTTAAAAGAGTATGAAAATCATTACCTAGGTTTATAGAATGAAAGAAATGTAGCACTGTATGTTTTTTACTTCACTGTAACAATGTAAAATGTTTGAACATATTGTCAAAGTATTAATGAGGGTTGATGAGTAAAAGCTGTAATTAAGGAATCAGCAAAAATTTCAGCCTTAAGCTGCTGCTGTTAATTGCCTTTCAGTTGATTCTGACTGCCGCGGTGAGAAGATTTTGAAAATGCCATAGAAATTCACAGCTTGATTCTAGTAGTTTCTTCCCTTTCCTCTAGCGTCAAAGGAAAATACAGAAGGATCGCTTAGTGGCTGAATTCACAACATCACTGACAAATTTTCAAAAAGTCCAGAGACAAGCTGCTGAGAAAGAGAAGGAGTTTGTGGCTCGAGTAAGAGCCAGTTCCAGAGTATCTGTAAGTATTTAAAAATGCACAGTGAATAATGAATATGATTATTTACTATGGGGACTGAGTGTGTGTATGCATTGGAAAAACATAAAAGATTATATTAGCATGTTTGTTTCTGCTTTAAGTCATGAAGATTTATGACTATCATGAAAGTCAATATTTAAATATTATTTTCAGATTTTTTTCTGCTTAGTTTTTAAGAAGAGAGCCATGGTTACATACTACTGTGGCAATTTTTCCTGTGTCCTAGAGCAAAAATTGCAGATTGCCAAAAAATAAGAAATATACTTCATCAAATAAAAGAATTGAATTCGAATTAGTGTATCACATTGACTTGGTAGTTAAGGCTTTCAGATTGCCTATGTGCTTTTTGTGCTTGGGAGGGTGGAGGGACGGTGCAGGAGGGGAAGGCCCTCTGTGAGGTGGATTGATTCAGTGACTAGGGTAATCGGGATGGGTGTGTCAGAGACAGTGTGATTGGCACAGGATAGAGCAGGGTTTAGGGCTATTGTACATCGGGTCGGTATGAGTCGCAAGCGACTCAACGGCACTTAACAACAACAATATGGATGTAATGCTTTTATATTACTATATGATTATAGTTAATAAACAATGGAAATGAGCAAAGTAAATCTATATCATTAATATTGAAACATGAATATAAATGTGGGAAACAATAAATGAAAATATTAAAGTAGAATTTTGCATTAATCTGAGTTTTAAGTTCCCTTAGAAACTATCTGAAGTGTTTTTTTGTTTTTGTTTTTTTGTTTATTTAACAGAGATTATTTGTGGGTTTCTCATTTGGGAATATATTTCCCAAATATTTTGCGGTTATATTTCTCTTTTGTCTCTGGACCCAGGCTCAGGGTTCAGGTTACCTATAGGAAAGGGAGCAAATCTGGAGAGAAAAAAGTGAGTTACAAAGAAAAGGGCTTTGGTGGTCTTAGCAGATGTACTGGAGGAGGAGATGGAGGAAAGTGGCTTAGGTAAAGTTCCTCATGAGCACCAGATGGCTCTTGGAATATTTCTTTTTTCCCCCCATTTTTATTAATTTTAATAAACATTTATAGTGATTCATTCATTCATTGCTGCACTTTTCTCCCTGCCCACCCCTCCACACCAGTTCGCTCCTCTCTTTGAAAAGAAAAAGAAAAAAAAATTCCTTCATTGGTATACAATTCCCCCATCTCCCCACCCCTGAAATGATATATTTCTTAAAGTCAAGTTTCCAAGACTGTTCCGTTTTAGCCAAATGTGTCTATTATTTGGCTCATGAGAATAGTTATTTAAGCCCTTCCTTATCAATTATTATTACTTTAAAATGTTGTTGTTGTTGTTAAGTGCCCTTGAGTTGTTGACGACTCATAGTGACCCTATGAACGAAAGTCCTTGACCCTTGCGTGCGTGACTTTCATCCTTTCTCCAGGTTCATAGGGTTTCTGGAGGCAAGCTGTTTATTGACGTGGATGCCACTCCTGCTTCCAGGCTTGTTTTAGCCGGGGAGCTCCACCAAACACTCTCTACCATGGTAACCATTATTGCATGTTTGTAACACATCATTGTCAACAGCGTTCAGCTTCACAGTAACCACAGGTTACCTCTGTAAGGCAAGTGGACACCCCAGGGCTATACAACCTAGAAGACTGTTTGAACAAAAACAGTGAAAAGCAGGCCTTAGGGCCGCATATTAGAGTCACCCACCTTTGGCTTGGTAACATCGCTTTCAGTCCACTGGGCCAACTGGTGTCTCTCTGTGTTGTTAAGTGCCATCGAGTCGTAGACGACTCATAGTGACCCTATGAACGAAAGTCCTCAACACTTACATGTGTGATTCTTACCCTTTCTCCAGGTTCATAGGGTTTCCGGAGGCAAGCGCCCAGAGCCTTCCATACCTGCCTCTCCCCAAGAAGCCAGAGACCACATAGCTGACACTAAGTCTCCCAAGACACTAGGCGTGCCTGACCTTTCAGTATTTACCATCCCAGCATGCAAAATGCTGGCCACTCTCAGTCAGAGACCCCCCAGTACATCTGGCAAGTCCGCTCTTCTGACGTCCACTTGGGGCACAGAGAAAGCCACAAATGCCCAGAGCCTTCCATACCACCCTCTCCCCAAGAAGCCAGAGGCCGCATGCAGCTGACACTAAGTCTCCCAAGACACGAGGTGTGCCCAGCCTTTCAGTATTTACCATTCCGGCATGTAAAATGCTGTAGCAGACCTAAAATGTAACTAGAATTTCCCTTTCCCCCCCTCATGTTCTCATTGTCTTTCCCCTTTTCCTCCCTTCCACTACCCTTTTTGCAACTCTCTCTGGACCTGTTATATGTCTGTCTGTCTGTTTGTCTAGCTAGTGGCATCCACTGCCCTAAACAACATGCCTCTGGAAACTCTGTGAACTTTGATAAATGATAATAGTTATAGGAAGACTTCAGGCCTTTTGTTCATAGGGTTGCTATGAGTCATGCTTGACTCAACGGCGATCAACAGCACAATATGTATGTATGTAATATGTATGTATGTATATATGTACGTATACATATAGTGTATGTGTACAGGAAGGCATTCATGTATCATATATGTACATAACTAACTTTAAAATATTTTAAGGGAAAATGTGAGAATTTTTGGTTCTTATTATCAACCTATCCTATTATTAAATTTTTCAGGGTGGTTTTCCTGAGGACAGTTCCAAAGAAAGGAATTTTGCATCCTGGGAAAGGTAAGAAATGCAAGATATAATAGGTACAAAGATAATTTTTCAAATGTATTGATACATGATAATTCTTGAAGCAGAGTTTATATTTTCTTATCACAAATATCTTAATTTATACATTGAAAACAATAAATTTGAGTGCCAAGGAAAAATTTTTAAAGACTTATTTATATATCTTATTACTGTGTTGAAAAAGTATGGTCCAAATAAATGCTTATTGATTCATTTAATATTTAAAATACACTATTTCCTTGTATAAGATTTGACTCAACAAAGAACTATATCCAGTTTTCAAATGCTGCTTTTAGTAATTAAAAATAGCTCCAAAACCTTAATATAAAGTAAAATTATATCATTAGTCAGTGAAATTTAAAAAAAGAAATAAAACTTAATATTTTTTCATTAATATTCTATTTTTAAACCTGTTCAAAATGAGCAATTCTGTAATATTGAAGAATAGAATATTTTCTTAAGTGTTTCTTAAAATGGAAATATGTTTTTAATGCCCATTTTTCCTTTGTTCATATTCTGTTCTTATTAGCCAGACTCAACCACAGGCACAGCTGCAGGATGAAGAAATTACAGAGGATGACCTCCGGCTTATTCATGAGAGAGAGTCTTCTATTAGGCAACTTGAGGTAAGCCTTATCCTTGTAGAGGAGCACTGATACTCTGTTCTTTATCGGCTTTTCTTTGGGGTGCTTAAAAATGCTGAAAGAAGGATTCAGATAGAAAACTAGGATGGACTCAGAGACGGAAGAATAGGAAAAGAATGGATAGATTATGAACAACACACTGGAATAGGTAACAGGAAGGACTGTCTGAAAGGAATGGATGATTAGACAGTTAACAATCTGAAACAACGTGCATCACATCGTTAATTGGGGAAGAAGAACTTTGGAGGGGAGTGTGTATCAATGAATGAATGAAACTCCAGCTTTAACTTTCATTAACATCGTTATAGGAAACTAGATAAATGCATCATGGAGTAATATTTGCACTGCATACATTATAATAATTTTGTTGGGAAAAACACTATTTAATGTTTATGGTTTGGATGATAACGTATGTTCTCTGCTGGTGTCGATCTATCTTGTTAGAGACTGTCCTCTCTTTCTCTGACCTTTCACCTTTACTATCCTGATGTCCTTGTCCAAGGCCTGGCCTCTCCTAATAACATGTCCAAAGTATGTGAGATGAACTTTGTCATCTTTGCCTCTAAGGATCACTTTGGCACTATGCCCTTTCTCCAAGACAGATCTATTTGTTCCCTTCTTCACAGTACCATGGATAGTTAATTTACTACCATGCTCTCTGAAGGGAAAGAAAAAAGAGGCTTTCTACTTCCATAAAAATTTACAGCCTAGGAAACTGTATGAGTAATTCTGCTCTATCCTGCATGGTCATGTGAGTCTGAATTGATTTGATGGCTTTGTGTTCTTTAGAGTATCTGATAAACTCTATTTGCTAATTATTCCATTTATTCCTCACAGAAACCCTCTGAGTTAGTTAACTGTATTGCCTTCCCCATTTTACAGATGGGAAAACTAAGGCACAGGAGGTTATAGAAATTGCCCCACCACTCTTAATAAAACACTTCACCTTTATTCTTCCATCAGGTGAAAATAATAGTGAGCATATAGTAAATACACTTCTTTATCCATCATACCATTGCATTTCCAGATTTATTCATGTAAGACTGTAGATCCTTAATTTATATTCTTAAGTTATAAGAATATTCTTTAAGACTATTGCAAGGTGAAGTATGAGTCATTACTGAATTAAGTTATAAGAATATTTTGCATTCTTGTGAATAGATATTGTATAAAACTACCAGCTTGCATAAAAATAAAGTCAATACTCATGGCCCTGTCTCTATAATTGATTTCTATTTTGAATATGCCATTTATTTTAGAGGACTGATGCCTATTCAGAACCTCCTTAGAGTTGATTATAATAAATATTTGTACACTCCAAAAATGCGTTTATCATGTCTAGTAGATGCATGCGGTCCTGTGTGTGAGTGGTGATGTCAGGGTGGTTTGTGTTTTTAATTCCCCCCTGTCTGTTGAGGAGCAGGAACTGAATTATTTATTACAATACTATGTTCCTGCTTGCTGAAACTGAGGAGGACCTGAAGCACCTGCTGCAGAGGGTCAAGGACTGTAGCCTCCAATATGGATTGAGGCTCAATGTCAAGAAGACAAAAATTCTCACCACTGGGCCAATTGGCAGCATCAGGATGGATGGTGAAGAGATTGATATTGTTCACAGCTTTAGTTTGCTCGGCTCCATGGTCAACACTCTTGGCACCAGTAGCCAGAAAATTAAAAGGCGCATTGCCATGGGAAAGTCTGCTGTTAGGGACCTCTCCAAAGTACTGAAGAGCAATGGTGTCTCTCTGGAGACTAAGGTGCATCTGATACAGGCCATGGTCTTTGCGATCACTTGTTAAGCATCAGAGAGTTGGACAGTGACTATGGAGGATAGAAGGAGAATTGATGCCTTTGAGCTGTGGTGCTGGAGAAGAGTATTGAGAGTACGATGGACTGCTAGGAAAACAAACAGATTTCATCCTAGAAAGGGTTAAACCGGATGGCTCTTTGGAGGCAAGGATTCTGAGGCTCCGTCTAACATACTTTGGACATGTTGTAAGAAGAGACCGGTCCTTGGAGAAGGACATCATGCTTGGGAGGGTTGAGGGACGGCGCAGGAGGGGAAGGCCCTCTATGAGGTGGATTGATTCAGTGACTGGGGTAATCAGGATGGGAGTGTCAGAGACAGTGCGATTGGCACAAGACAGAGCAGAGTTTAGGGATGTTGTATATAGGGTTGCTATGAGTCGCAAGCGACTCGACAGCACATAACAACAACAACAACATGTTCCTTTTTCTTTTAGGCTGATATTATGGATATTAATGAAATATTTAAAGATTTGGGAATGATGATTCATGAGCAAGGAGATGTGATTGGTAAGCTCTTCGGATTTAATTTTGTGAGTTCAGAGCAAGCTGCCTGCAGTTTACTGATGACACCTCTCTTAGATGAGAACAAGTATTTCCCGTCTTTTGGTCCACCTTCTATCGCGCCCCATCCCGGCAATCTCAAGCACAATCCTAACAACAGTCATCATCTCGTTTGTTATATTATGTAAAACAGCTGTTTTTTTCTCTTAATATTTGAAATGGCCTGCTTTTGTAAAGACTGCAGCCAAAAGCACCACTTTGGGACAGCTTTATTCTGTCATATTGGGTTGCAATGAATCAGAATGAATTCTAAGGTACTTCACAACAACAGTATCCTTATCTAAATGGTATCTAAAGCCATGAGCTTGGATAAGATCTCACCTAGAATAGAAGTGTAGAGAAAATCAGGGTTCTAAGTATTTAACCCCAAGTCTGACATGTAGAGTAGGTCAGCAAGCTCCATCTAGTCATACATAACTTCTGTAACTGCATTTTCATTAACCAGGCAGAACTGAATAGTTGTGTGTAAGATTTTTATGGCTTAAAGAGCTTAAAATAATTAGTGTTTGGACCTTTACATAAAGTGAGTAACTCTGATTTTGAGTCCTTAAACCTGATAAAGAACGACAACAAAACAACCCCCAATCCAACCCAACCTAAAGAAAGTATGTAGAGTAAAAACAAGAGTCTAGGAAATGAAGTTAAAATGTTGTGTTCTTTAGATCACCTAAGAAATGGTATATTGTTGCTTGCTTGTTTGCCATCAAGTGAGAGCCAACCCATAGCTGACCCTCTCGTAGGTTTCAAGAGGCAGTAAATCACATGGGAGGAGTTTGCTCATCACTTTCCTGTAGAATATCTGGTGAATTCGAACCGTGGGCCCACGGATTGCAGTACATCTTACCACAGGGAAAAAATATAACTTATTCATTATATTTTGTGTGTACCGTCAAATCGGATCTGACTGGTACAGGAATAGATTGCCCCCCCCCCCCTTCTCTAGCACAGCATCTGGTGGATTTAAACTGCAGACCTCTAGGATTGCAGTGCACCTTCTTGCCACTAGGCCACCAGAGTTCCCTTGAAAGAAAATTTTTTTTTAGAGTTACAGCAAAGAGATGAAAACAGCCCAAGTACCCATCAGCAAATGAATGGGTAGAGAAGCTGTAGCATATTTACACAATTGAGTATTACATGGCTCGTGAAAACCTACACAGCATGGGTGATTCTAGGGGACGTGATGCTGAGCCAAAGAAATCAGTCACCAAGGACAAACATGGTATAAGGCCAGTGTTAATGAAACACACACAAAAGAAATTTTTATTTTAAAAAATCTTCCAACTTTTTAAAAACACTGTTACTAAAACAAACACTGTTATTTAAAAAAACCAAAACATTGTTACTCAAGTAAACAAAAAATCAAATCAGAAAAGTATATTTTGAGAGTTCAATCCAGCATGAATACAGAATAGGGTGAGGGAGTAGAAAAATAAATGGATAGACACTGAACACTGTTGGTATATAGATGAAGGAAAGGATAGTGTGAAGTGAATGGATGATCAGACATTGTGTGTGTTCTAATTAACAATGTGGACGGAGTATGCTTGGCTTGGGCGGAGAGGTTTACACACTGAAACAATCCTGAAGATTGTCAGGCTTGGGAAGAGAGGGAGGGGAGAGCAAGATCAGTGGATGAATGGGTAGGGAGAAGGGAAAGGCCAGGTACAATGGGTGTTGTAATAAAAGGCATTGATCAGTTGTAATTAGTGTTATAAAACAAAAAGTTTATGAATCATTGAATTAAAAACTTTTTAAAAAATAATGAAGAAAAAAGTCTGTACTTTGTGCTATACTGCTAGTATTAAATATTGGGCACATGTAACCTTACCTTGACTAAAACGTATTGATTTATGCCGCTCTGTTACTAGAGCGTCAGCGTGCATCTAACGGTTGTGTATGTTTTATTTTAAAGACAGTATAGAAGCCAATGTAGAAAATGCAGAGGTGCATGTTCAGCAAGCGAACCAGCAGCTGTCCAGGGCAGCAGAATATCAGGTAAAGTTATCCGTAATCCACTTTCTCAATTTTGTTTGCAATTTTAGTTATTTTGCTAAAATAGAATCAGATTTAAATGGCAGAAGATACTAAATAGCGTGTTAAATCCTAGATAAAGACATGAGAAATAAGTAACTCACTTGAGAACTGGCTTTGGCTGATGCTGCCTGTGGTTTGAACCGCCTTGTAGGCCTCAGTGATGAGAAGTTTGACGTGCTAAGCCAACAGTAGAGGAACCTAGACCGCTTTCCTAATGGCTGGTGAGCTCAGATATCAGGCTTTCCAACCTAAAAATCTCTTCTAGCCTTCTCTCTGCATTTCTTGCTGGTTTTCCCTCATAACATCATTTTCTGTATGTCATTTCCATTTCTGACTACCATGGTAAGATCTTTGCCCAAGAAATAACTTCTTTAGACCCTATGGAAATTATGTTAGCTAGGAATGTCCCTATCTATTAAGTGTTCTGTCAGCATTCAGCAAACTTTTTGCCAGAAATTTCATTGTTAAATGTACCAGATTATTAGAGAGGATTCTTAAGTTTCTGCAAGTATAAGTTATGTATATGTCACATAGTTGACCATGAATTAGTGATCTACAAAACAATACGTAGACCTTTGATGTTCAACAAAGATAAGGCCAGAGTTTTTGGAAATCTCTAAATATTCTAGCACATCGTTTCACTTTAAAACTTAATTTTATAATTGTTTGTAATAACATTTCCTTGGACCTTGTTACCTTCTTAGAAAATATCTATGATACAGTTACCCTCTTAGATATTTTCAACTTGTCTTTCATTGCAGTGCTGTTTTACCCTCACTGTATATACAGTGATGTGTAGGGAAACAATAAACTGAGTAGAAATTACTGAATTGCAGCAAATTGTAGTCACTAAGTAACTCCTGTTTACCCATGCTGTTGACACTATTCAGATGGCCACTTCCATGGAATTTATAATGGCATATCATGGACTTTCAACAAGATAGATGATACAGTGACTGCGGCAGTAGGCTCAAACGTGTCAGAGATGGTGATGATGGCACTGGATAGGCCTGGGTTCAGGTCTGTTGTTCGTGGAGTCACTGTGAGTTGTACTCAACTTGATGGCACCTAGCAACAACAATTAATTAAAAACAAACACAAATGGCAGGCCATAAATGCCAAGAGTCATAAACCTGTTGGTGAAGAAAGTTGTTGAGTTTAGTATTTCACAGGAGTTATCAGTACTAGGCTTACTTTATTTGGCTTTGGATTTTTGTAGAATGTAGCTGCTCTCTAGTTTTTCTGTTCCTGATGAAAGGAACACATCTTCTCAAGCTTGTCCAGGTCCCTTTCCAACACAGATCCTGATGAGATGAGGAAAGGTACATGAAACACAAACACTGAAAAAACAAACAAGTTTCTAGTAGTTCTGCTTGGAAACTTTAATGGTAAGCTTATGAATCTAAAAAATATGCTACTTCTGAATTGTTTAGATGAAGCATGAGAATAAAAGAAGGTAACACTAAACACTAGTTAGCACTAAAAGATCCAACTACCCCACACTCGAAAATTTGTTTGCACATTACCAGTATATCATAGATGAATGTCTGTGATTGCTGATAAAGATGCATTAATTCCATGTTTCAGTGGTAAATGGAAAGCATCTGGGAGATATTTATAAATTATTATATTTAAATTTTTGAGAAATTATTTTTAATCTTTGAAAATTACTCAGTTGACCTATTTGATGATGATGTAGAATCTTGAGAATTTGTAGTTTTCAAGATCATTTTAGATTCAGAAATAGAGTTTTTGTAATTTTTGTAGTACTTCTAGTTGACACAAAGTAAATTTATGATTTTTTTTACTTTGTAAGAAAAATGATTCCTGCATATTACTGTGAACTATGCAAGAAGTTAAAAGAAATATGGAAATCTACAGCTGGACCAGGAATGAAGAATGAAACAATATTCTTAATCTTTACATCTTAAAGAATTCTAATTTTTTATCTTTTCTCTTTTTTATTTATATGTTAAGATTTTTAATTCCATTTCAAATATTAATATATATTAAATAATGGGATTGATTTGGGGAATTCATACATTTATTTTAGGAAAAATTGCTAATATTTTTCATAGAACTCAAGTTTTTTTGTAAAATTTTTTTATTCTAATTTTGATATAACAAAAGTTTACAGAAAAGTTAGATTTTCATTCATACATTGTTGTGCATTTTTACCCCTTATCCCTCCTTCTTCCCCTCTCCCCTAGTTTACTTGTTTTATTATATTTTTAATATTCATTCATTGTTGCTCAGTTGCCTCCCTTCCCCCTCCTCCCAGTCCTCTTTGCAGTGTACCTCTTATTCTGGGCTATTGTTTGCATATAATTCCTAATCATATACTCCTTTTAAACAGTTCTTTCCTCATCTATTCAGTGCAGTATTCATTATCTATGCACTCTTTTTTAAAAAAATAAAATTTCTATTTTATAATGGTTTACTTAAAAGTTGTATACATTGTTTTCCACACTGGATCTTTCCCCTTTATCCACCCCTCCCTACACCCATCAAATTGTGCAACCTTCTTATTTTTCTTCTTATTTTCTTTCCAAACCCTCATGTCAGGCCTACTTTATAACAAGTGATGCTTTGCAATATTTGTCCTTTTGTGACTGAGATATTTCACTCAGCACAATGTCCTGCAGAGTCACCCATGTTGTATAATGTTTTATAAGTTCATTGTTTTTCAGTGCTGTGTAGTATTCCATTGTATGAATATGCTATAGTTTTCTATCCATTCACTTGTTTGTGGACACTTGAGTTGCTTCTTTCTCTTTACTATTATAAAAAAATGCAGCAATAAACATGGGTGTGTATATATTTGTTTTGATGGAGGTTATGGTTTCTTTAGCATATATTACCAGTAGTGGCATTCCTGGGTCAAATGGTATTTGTATTTCAAACTTTCTGAGAAAACTCCAAACCACCTTCCATAGTGGTTGCACCATTTTACCCATCAGTAGAACTCAATTTCTGAGATAAACTTTTTGATAAAAATTATATAAGCTTTTTAAGCTGGTCTTTATTTTCACAATAATTATAGGTTAGTCTATGGCATAAAACATTAACTTTTATTTTGTCTTTTTTTTTTTAAATCCAAGCATGTTCCCAGAGAAATTACCATCACAAGTAAAACTTTAAAAAGTCAAGAAAAGGTCTACACACAGTAAGGAACACTCTGACACTTACCAAGAAGGGAAGAGTGAGGGGGAGAGAGAGACATACTCACTACATAGCCAATTACCATCAAGTTGGAACTGATTTTCTCACATAGGAGATTGTCCATCTTTCTACTGTCGAGCGGCTGATGGATTTGAACTGCCTGTCCTTGGGCACCATAGGGGTGCAGCCTTTACATTAGCAGTGTAACCCCCTTTGCACTGGGCCACTAGATAGTAGACAGGAGATGAATCTGATGAAGGGAAAAAAATACACAGTGTGAGGGAGACCAGCACACTGTGACCAAGGTGATCCAGATGAAGAAAGACACTGAGAGGCACATAGGAATAAAGGGCTGCAACATATAGAATCCCACCATAGAAAGAGCTAAAAATAATTTGTGAGTAAATCCATTTGTGAATATGTGTGCTTAATAGGTGAAGAAAATTATGAGGGCACATTTGCATACATATATATAGGTATCATGGTGCATAGTTCTAGACTTATTTGTGAATAGAACATGTTTACTCATATATATGATGGAGCATGTGGGCGCACAGTTAAAGAAAATACTTAAACATCAGCCTTGAAACACTGGAGCTGAAGACTAAGAACCATAGTCTTGGTAGATATTAGGTCAATTGGTAAAACATTTCAGAAAGATAATGTTCTACTTAGTCTGGTGAGTTGTATCTGGGGTATTAAAGCTGTGTGAATAGTCATCTAAGAAATTACTATTTGCGTCTTCCCACCTGGAAAAAGGAGACGAAGGAGAAATTCAGACTCATTTAATCAGTTAGTGCAAATAAGAGGTTCATTGCAAAGGGGGAAGACGGGGTTAGGGGGCGGGGGAACTATGTAACAATGAATGAATTTTTTTTAGTTTTTAAAATAAAGTGAATTATGGGAGGGGAAAGGGAAGAGGAGGGAGGAAAATGTGCAATGAATGAATGAAAATTCACCTTTTCTGTAAACTTTCATTAAAATCACAGTTAAAAAAACCTCAAAACATAGGCCAAATGAGAACTACATGGTGCTTGGCAGGTTAAAAACACACACACACACACACACAGAGAGAGAGAGAGAACAAAACAGGAACTATAGAACTGAATTAAAGGCCAAAAATTAAAACACCATGCTTCAACAGAAAATTACCCCAAGATTATTACCCTAAGGAAAAACTTCCAAGTGACAACAGACGACATTCCTACCTTCCAGCCAGATAATGAACAGGAGAATAAAATACAGAGTGTGAAACATGTGCTCCTTAGACCAGTCAACTCAGAAGACCAAAAGTGTGTTTGCCCAAAACTAGGAATGTGAAGACATTGAAAGGACGAGGGAGTCAGACGAACGGCAATAGAAGCCCAGCGAAGCTGGAACTCTCCAGGGTGGCAGCCTGCAGTCGTCACAGGACAATTTGTGGGCAGACTATCATGGGGAAAAACTAAGTAAAACTTTCACCTCAAGCACATGTTAAAAATAATGTGTCATGAAAGAAACCAATAGCTATGCTATATATTAGCAACAGTCATTTAGAAAATATTCTTTAATAAAAGAACCAAAAAAACCCATTATCTGTAAAAGGGAATTAGAAAAAATGTAAAAAGTTGCAAAACTACTCCTCATTTATAACATTCAGGAATATTATTTTTTGAAGGCTAGTGCCATATATGTATAGAAGAGATTTTCTAGAGGCAAAGAATAAAACTAGAAATTTGAGGCACATATATTACTATTGATTTTACTCATGGAATGAGCCAAGTAATTTTCAATTGCTATATAGAGGTGGTCCACTGAGTCTGTTAAAAATGTTTTTGTTTTTGCCTCTGCAGCGTAAATCTCGGAAAACCATGTGCATCATCATTTTCATTGTTGTCATTGGAATTGTGATTCTCAGTCTCATCATATGGGGCGTGAGCAGGAAATGACAGCGCCCGTTAGTGCACTACATTCTCCAAATTATGTCGGGAGATGCCTGAAATCATGTTTGGTCTTTTTTGTTTGTTTTTTAAAAAATTACTGTAAAGCTATTAAGTAAAGAATGGTTTCCAAACTTTGTTATTTTTATTTGTGTAGGGAGGAAGTTTCCTTGCTATTAAATCTGGTATTTTCTGATACTCAAAGGTTTTCTAAATACCATTGCAGGCATAATGCCCATGCTTTTCAACCTTAATAACTTAAGTTTTTGCCCACATTTATATGCCTTTCATATATCATTTATTATACCTGTCCACTTAGTTTGAGAATTAATAAACTGAAAGTGTTTGTACTCTGTGCATATTTGTTTGTTTTATTTTCAATTGAAAATAATTAAAAATTTGTTTTATTTTCAATTGAAAATCTTAAATCTATGAGCCAGCTGAGAAAATATTCTTAGTAACTTAAGTAAATTACAGTGATCTGTTTTGTTTTGTTTCCTGGTTCACAATAGGACAGATTGTATATTTAATTTTTTTTTCACCTTTATTTACTCTGGATATATCTCATACTCCTGATGTGTATATATCAAACATTTGCTATAGCTTGCCTACTAAACTGTTGAAAATCAATTGTCTTTATATAGGCTTGTTTTATGTCTGATGTTTACTGGGGAAAGTGCAGTTGCTATGAATATGTATTTAAATTTGAAGGAAGTGTATGAAAAATCACCTGTGTGAATTATACAGATCTCAAATTGTATCCTACTAAAAGTCTTATATATACAATGACATTGTGGGTCATTATTTACTTTAGCATTATATTGTTATTTTGAATGTTTAACATGTGTGCCATTTTGTAGAATCCTTCCTGAGAAAATAATTGGATGTTTGGCCAATTAACTCACTTGCCTTTTAAAAATAATATGGTTTTAATGAACTACTCTGAATACTGTCAAGGGGATGGTTTTACTTTCTAATTTGTATTTTATAATGTTCTTGTATAGTAGTTTGATAGTGAAGGCAATGTTTTACATGGCAAATACTGAGATTTCAAATGGGAACAAAGACCATGTTAAGTACTTAATAAGTAAATTGTATCTTTGCAACCATAATAAAGATGATATAAAAGGTATCTGGCTAAGTCTGTTTCATGAGGACTCTGCTTCAGTGGGACCAGTGCTCACCCTGCACTTTTGGTGCTGTGCTCCCTGAAATCCCAACACAGTGCACATGACCACCAGACAGCCATTCAACATCTCTCTGGAGCACCGGTTTACCCTGATTTGTGTTTTTGTGATTTTAGAAGGTTTTGTCCCTACTTGCTAGAAACTGTAGAAATGTCAATAAACCTTTGGTTGTTTTTTCCCCCCATAAAAGTATACCACTGTAGAAAATAGCTAGAATCTGTTTGTAGAAATGTCGGTAAACATTGGGTTTGGTTTTTCTTCCCATAAAAGTACCACTGTAGAAAACAGTTTGGAAACCGTGATTTTGTGCTGTTAGAAAATTGCAGCAATTGAACTGGAAGGAAAGGAGAGTAAAGCAGGAGGAAGATGCAAGTATACTCCGTGTTCTGAGATGTGTGAACACCTTCAACCACAGACCTGCCTTGGCACCTTTGAGTGGACTCCAGCATCTAGCCTCTCCTTTAGCCATTGATCACATTAACTATTTCCACTACTCAGACATTCTGTTTGGTCACTGTGTTAGTAATTTATTATGAAAACATTTTTCTTTTGCAAAATGAATCATGGTGTAAGACATGTTCCTGTAGCATTTGAGTAGTAGCAGGGACAATGTCGACTGCAAGAGAGACATACAGGTACAACCTGATTCCAAATGCCCTCAAAACAACAGCCTGCAGAAGTAGGGTTCCAGCCCCATTGCTGAGCGGCCACTTCAGCATGGTGGTGACTGTTCTTGTAACTATGGTGACAAGAATGACAACCAGGAATTTTATCAGGATGCTCTTAGGCAGTAGCAGAAATAGGCAGATGAGGGCTTGAGGATGAGATAGGCAAAATACAATTGCCTCTCGATCTGCACTCTTCCAACAAAAAGGTTTGTTTCATCTTTAAGTACCAATTGGTTGCCATTGGTCTTGAGTGGAAAGATTTGCTATTGTATCACCAAGTCTTTTCCTGTTTTCATAACTGTCTTGGACATTATTTTGCTTGCTCAGTTCCCTTATTCTGGATGATACCATGCTTTTATCATTTAGGTTTTATTTTAGCTTCAGAGCATCTGAGCACACTCTTAAATCATTATTTAGCGGAGCCTTTGGTTTTGAATAATTTCATTTTTTTTAATTTTTGGGGTCATTACATAGGTGTATTGAGTATGTTGTAAAAAAAAATACTAGCTCTTGCTTTGTTGTGAGACATTATAGCAAATGAAGTTTTCTTGTGGCATCATAATTAAAGCACTAATCTGTTAACCAAAAATTCAAACCCGTCAGCTGCTCTGTGGGGAAAAAGAAGAGACAATCTGCTTCCATAAAGACTTAAGCCTTGAGAACCTTATGGGTGGTTCTGCTCTGTCCTACAGAGTGGTGAGGTAGTCCCTCATAAGTTGTAATGCTAACTCAGTTGCTGATGGCTTGAATCTACCAGCAACTACACAAGAGAAAAATGGGAGTTTCCCACTGCAATGTATACAATCTGGAAACCCAACGGAAGGCTAACTAGGAGTTGGAATTAACTTAATGGCTGTGAGTTCGAGGGAGTTTGGAATTAACTTAATGGCTGTGAGTTTGAGGGAGTTTGGAGAAGTAGTTTAACTACTTTGAAATTGTAAGAACTTTTTGAAATCTGTCCTTCAAAATTTGTGTTAAATAATGAGACCATGATCTGTTCAAAACAAAGCAAGAAGCGTGGTGTGAACAGAGGAGGACTCACTCGAATTGAAAATCACAGGCTCCACAGCCACTCCTGGGCCAGGCTCACCAAGCACAGCAGGCTGACAGCAGGATGTGGGGGAGGGGTGGGGTGAGGGGGTGTCTCTTCACTGCTTTTGTTAAAAATGGTAATATTTGTGGGGAGGAGAACTTTTTAGATAAACAAGGATAAAATTTAAATAAAAAAACAACCCCAACATTTAGAGTATGAATCTTTTAAGAGAAAATGATAATGGGAGGGGAAAGGTGACTTTGAGGACTTCGAGTTCTGCAACACTGGTTGGTAATTCAGCTAGGAAAGTGCTTAGTTGGTTTGTGAAAAAATAAAATGAAAACCTGCATAAAGAATGTCAATTCACTGTCTGTTTTAAGTAGTGTAAGTGGCAAGGTTTAACTTCTTCAGGATATTTTTGAAGTGCAAAATGGAATGTGTTTCTTACATATGGCCAGGTTGAGACTATTAAATGAAGCTTCAAAATGGAGTAAAAAGAGGTGATTGGGGAATGTTGATGGTTTAGTGGGATGGCTCTCTAGTGGTGCAACAGGTAAGCTCTTGGCGGCCAACTGAAAGACTGACGATTGAAACCTCATCCATGTAACTCGACAGAGATAAGAGCTGGAGGCCTGCTCCAGTAACGAGTATGGTTGTCATTTGGTGCTCTGATACTGTCTCGGCCTCATAGCAGCTGTACGTACCACAGTACCACAGAAGGAAACCTGGCCTGGTCTTACGCTGTCCTCACAATCAGCTGTGCTTGAAGCCCATTGCTGCAGTCACCAGCTCACTTCCTCTCCCTGAGGAGCTCTCTCCTTTTCTCTAACCATCCATCCCAAGCATCATGTCCCTTTCTAAGGGCCAGCCCCTCCTGCTAACATGTGCAAAGTATGTGAGACACTGTTTCACTATCCTTATTTCTGAGGAGCACCCTGGTAGCTCCTCGTCCAGGACAAGATGTGTTTGTTCTTCTTGCAGTCCCTTGATATTTTTTAATTGTTTTGGCAAAGAATACTGAATATTCCATGCACTGACTGTAAAGAGTAAAGTCTAGAAAACTCCATGATACTCTGTCATACAGGTCATTATGAGTAAAAAAATTAGTTGGCCATCACCTAACAAGTCAAATGATGTTATTCATTCATTTTACTTATGATTAAACTTTTCTCACCAGTGATGAATAAAGAATTTTATTTTGGGGGTGGGGGAAAGTAGGAGAGTTATTTTCATAATTCAGTTTCAAAAAACAAATGTGACCATTGGTTTCTGGACATCTTCAATCAACCATAGGAACTGAACAACTTAACATCCCATTAAGAAACTACGTTTATCAAAATTTTTACTACTGGCACTTTGTATGTGTTATACTGTCCTACTTCTTTGAAAAGTCCACATTTCTTCTTGACAACGACCCTAACATAGTTTATAAATTGGTGAAAATATGGCTCAATACAGATTCTGGGGCTTCGTCTGACATACTTTGGACATGTTGTAAGGAGAGACAGGTCCTTGGAGAGAGACGACATGCTTGGTAAGGTGGAGGGACAGCGCAGGAGGGGAAGGCCCTCGATGAGATGGATTGATTCAGTGACTGGGGTAATCGGGATGGGTGTGTCAGAGGCAGTGCGATTGGCACAGGATAGAGCAGGGCTTAGGGCTGTTGTACATAGGGTCGCTATGAGTTGCAAACGACTCGATGGCACATAACAACAACAACATAGTGCATTTGAAATGTGTATCCTTATACTGTAACACACGAGACAGAAGAATAATTACATGGATGTTAAATACACAGGGTCATTTTTATTCATTTCAGTTAAACTTTCCAAAATTAATGGACTCAATGAAATAAAGTCTCATTCACTAAGTTAACCAAACAGGATCACCCATCCTCCTGCATTAATACTAAACAATTTGAAGCATTTTAATATTTCTCTCAGAGTTCACTCAGAAAAACAGAGACCTCTTGATTAAGTGTAGAGATTTTAATAAACTCGAAGCTGATTCTGGCACCAGAAGGGTGGGTCACAGCATTGAAATGGGGGTATCTCGTGAACTGTTTCCACTGCAACTCTCAGCTACATCTGGAAAGTTCTGCTGTCTCAGCCTGCAGCACTG